AGAGAGAGAGAGAAACATAGATGTGAGAAAATCACATCAAGTGGCTGCCACCCACACAACCCCAACCGGGGCTGGGGACACACTGCAACCGAGGTACATGCCCTTAGCGGGAACCGAACCCGGGTCTCTGTGGTCCGCGGGCCGACGCTCTAACCGCTGAGCCACACCAGCCAGGGCGGTCCCTCCTCTTAGGCTGTTTCTGGAAGAACGGTGCGTATAGTAGGCCTGAGAATACAGTTCTGGAGACTAAGAAAAGTCAGCCGTGTCTGGGCAGCCCAGGCCAGCCTCCCTCCCTCCAGAAAGACTGGGCAAGAAGAACTGAACTCATTCCTATTTACTATCAAAACTCTGTCCCGGCCCTGGCTGTGTTGTTCAGTGGTTAGAGCGTCAGCCCCAAACCAAAGGGTCATGGGTTCGATTCACAGTCAAGGGCTAGTACCTGGGTTGCAGTTTTTTTTTTTTTTTTTCCTTTAACCTTCAGTAGAGTGGGGGAGGGGGAGAAACATTGACGTGACAGAGACACATCGACTGGCTGCCTCCTGCAGGACCCCTACCAGGGTCGGGGACTGGACCGTAACCGAGGTACATATGCTTGACCAGAATCGAACCTGTGACTCTTTGGTCCACGGGCCGATGCTCCAACCACTGAGCCAAACTGGCCAGGTCATGGTTGCAGGTTTGATCCCCAGCCTTGACTGGGGTGTGCGCGGGAGGCAACCAGTCGATGTTTCTGTTTCTCTCTTCTCCTCCCTCCCTCCCTTCCACTCTCTCTAAACATCAGTGGAAAAATTATCCTCAGGAGAAGGTTAACAACAACAAAACACTATCTTACGCAAGGGTTGGCGGGCTTTTTCTTTTTTACATATTTTTATTGATTTTTTAGAGAAAGAGATAGAAACATCGATGTGAGAAACATCATTCAGCGGCCTCCTGCACGCCCCCTACTGGGGATCGAGCCCGCAGCCCAGGCACGTAACCTGACCGGGAATCGAACCAGGACCTCTCAGTCCGTGGGACGATGCTTAGTGCGCTGAGCCACAGCAGCCAGGCAGGCAAGCGTTTTCTGTAACGGGTCAGAAAGGTAATTTTTCCATTTTGTGGGCCGTGTGTTCTGTGTCTCACCTACTGCTTTTAGCACAGAAACAGCCACGGACAGTAAGCAAACAAGTGAGCCTGGCTGAGGCTGGGTTCATCCATCGGCCGTGGTTTGCAGAACCTGGTCCCAGAGGATCTCCACGGAACCCCAACTCAATGCTCTGCTTTGAATGGAAGTGCGTTTTCACTGGTGCCTTGGAGGGGGCAGCTCTGGGCCTTGCCAAAGGTCAAAGGTAGCGTGATCTAATGGAAACCGCGTGTCCCTCCCTGCAAACATTCTTTAAGGAGACAACCTTGAGGCAGGGAGCAGAAGCTACACTGAAGCGTGAGCCTCCTCACAGGTAGGACATCACCCTGGAGTCTTCCCAGCCTGTCACTTGCTCTCAAAGGTTAGCACAGGCTGTCTGTCCTAGCATGACAGTGTTGTCTGAAGAAGTGAGGCGTGCAGTCGGGACAGTCCTGTGTGTCAGGGGGTGCCGGGGCAGGTGTGCTCGGGTCACAGAGTGGAGACTGCAACCGTCCCAATGTCCAGAAAGGGCAGGGCTGTCTGGGAAGGCAGGACATACCTTCGAAATCAGTAGTGACACCGGGGAATCGTGTCTGGGGGACCGTCTAGGACAAGGAAAACGGCGCATGGGGACGGGGAGACCCTCACAGCCCAGGCCCCCGGGAGCCCGCCGTCCGAGGGGAGCTGGGGGACGCATTCAGACCCACGTGGTTCGCCGAGACGCGCTCAGCAGCAGAGGACTCCAGTAATATTTTGATTAATGGCTTCCAGGAGGATGAAGCCCTTTTATACAGACAGCTCTATTAGAAAAAAAACCTCAAGCCAAAATTCCTCCATAAATCATGCAAAAAATGGCTGCCTACACAACAGAAATAGCTCAAGCGTACTGTCTGTTTGTCTTCGGTTAGATGGTGATAAATAGGGCTCATCCTTTGCAAAGTTGCAAGAGCTGAACTTTACCTTCAGCCACACGTCTTCCTGTCCCTTTCGGGTGACCTCCCTGGACTGCAGTCACCCCGAACCCAAGGGCTCTTGTACCGTCTTCATCTCGTGGCGCAGTTGGCTTTGGATGCCTTGGCAATGAAGGGGTCACTACCAGTTATTATCAATTTGTACCCCCTTTTCGGTCGTCCACCCGCATGCCTGATCCCTTACACCTAGGAGGAGGGCGCTCGGTGAGGAGCTGGGTGCAGGAGCCGCTGAGTGGCTGATTCTCCGCGGTGGCCCATTTCTCTTGGGCTCCGTTGCCCGTGTGCTGCCCTCGTCTGCTCTGTCCCTCTGTCCGTCCTTCCTCTCCACCCGCACCTCTGCCACATTTTACCCAACCCTACCCTCTCTCTTCTCTGGCAACACACACACCCACACGTTCTCAAGATACAGATAGAGAAGGAGAGAGAGAGACGTTTGGCATTTGTCTAATAAGCATTTAATGATTATGTGTGTCACGACCCAAGGACAGCTCGGACTGTGACCTTCTGCCTTGTCTCTTTCAGCCGTTAGGAAGGTGTGGCCGGGCCCCTGTTCTCTTTCCCAAGGTCCCTGTGCAATTCGGGGGGAATTGGGGACCAGCTTTTCCATCTCTGCAAGCACCACAAAGGCCACTGAGGTGTTCGTGAGGGTGGCCTCAAGCCTGTAGCTGCTTCCCCCTTGCAGTTTAGATGCCTTTTATTTCTTTTTCTTGCCCAGTTGCTCTGGCTCACGCGTCCAGCACCATCGCATGGAGGCGGTGAGAGGGGGCGTCCTCGCCTCGTTCCTGCTCGTAGGGGGGAGCGTTCACCGCTGAGTGCGAGGTCAGCCGTGCGCTTTTCCCGGATGCCCTTCGCCCGCAGCCGTGCGGGTCTCTGGGCGTCAGGGTTCTCACCTGCTGTCTCCCCCTTTCACAGACGGTTCCCTTCCTTGGCCTTTCCGAACATTTCCCGAAGGGTTTTGTTTCCTCCTTGGTCCCACCTTCCAACAGCAGCCTCCGCAAGGAAGGGCCCTGTCGCTTCCAGGGCACAGCTCCCCTCTCTGTCTCCGGCTCCCACAACCTGGAAGAAGGTCCTTCAGAGCTCCGGCTGCCGTGGCACAGACCACGGCCCAGGGTGGCCCTTGGTGCCGAGTCACCACACAGATGCCCTGGTCTCTGAGGCCAGGCGTCACATCCTTCACGGACCCTGTTGAAGACACTTCCCCTCCAGACCCAAGTCTAATTGTGTCCCGTCCCCACCCCCTGGACTGCCGTCACCCCACTGTCTCTCCCACTTTGCACGTGGAGAGTTGTGTTGAGGTCCGAGGGCCCAGGGTCTGGAGCACTTTCCCCACGAAACCCAAATCTATTAGAGCGCATTGTTCCTTCTCCGGGTCGTCCTACCACTCGAGCCAGTGACTCAGAGAATTCACCGAGTTTTATTAGAATAAATAGCTTCTTGAACCTGCCTGACCCAGTACATTTTGCGTGATCGGAGGGCAGAGACTGTGTCTGTCTCGTGCTGGTGTGTTCGGGGCCTGAGTGGGACACCGGGCACGATGCAGTAAAATCTTCAGCGAATGGGGTCACTGAGCTACGTACACAACGGGCACAGCGGGTACCACGTGTCACTGCCACAGAGCTCCCACAGGCGGTGTCGTCGACGTGCGAGGTTGGGGAACTAGAACGCGGGCGCCGTCCACCATCACGGGGTCACGTCCAGGTCTGTCCTGCCCTCGTGACCTTGTTGATGTCGTGTCTCCTGACAGAGTTCCCACACTCGACACGTGTCAAGCAGGGACTAGCTCCTGAGAAACTCTGGGGTGAACTGCCTAGGAGGTTCAGAGCTGGTGTTAGGCAGAATGGTCCCGAGTGGTTTCTGCCCCTCACTGCCCAGTGTCTGCCCTCCTTTTGTTGTGACGCCTCGTCAGGGGCCCGAGGTACGTGTGCGTCCCTCTTGTTCTAGAGGCTGTGCTGCATTGTGTTGCTGATATGGTCACATTATGCCCCTAACAAGTTCTTAAGACATTGAGCTGCTGTTTTACGAGAGGTGGGAGGGAGCCGCGACGAACCAGCGAAATCAACCCTGTGCCGATACCTGACGCTCGTTCCATAAGGCGTGACCGTCAGTGGACACTGGGTGGAGGTACACGGGACCTCTCTGTGCTGTCTCGGAAAATTCCCGTGACTCGATAATTATTTCAAAATAAAAAGCTAAAAACGATTTGGATATGCCCTGAGCCCCGGTGCTTGTCCACCTGGGGGGCCTGCGGAGTTGCCTTCGTCACCCAGGCCCGGGCCCGAGCCCGGCTGCCGCATCCGCAGCCACAGGTTTCTCCTTCACCCTCCGGCTCTGCTCAGACCTCAGGTCCTCAGGGAACTCTGGGCCTTGCTCCAAAGGGAAGCCCTACAGCCCCTCCTCCAGCCCCATGTTCCTGCTGTGTCTTCTTGTGTACTTACCATACCCTACCGCCTTTTTTCTTTATTGATGTTAGAGAGAGAGAGAAACATCGATGAGAGAGAACGTCGACTGGCCGCCTTCTGCACGCCCCCCACTGGGGATCAGGCCCACAACCTGGGCATGTGCCCTGACCAGGAATCGAACCAGTGACCTCTTGGTGCAGGGTCTACGCTCAACCGCCGAGCCACACCGGCCGGGCTACCTCTTTGTTTCCCTTTCTGTTTCCTCCCATGAGAATGCAAATTCCATGAAGGCAAGAATTTTAAAAAATTTAATTGGTTGCTGTACCCTCATCGCCTAGAGAGAACGGCACTCGGCAAATGTCTGTGCCGTGAACGGATCTTTGTAGCAAACGAAAGCTCGAAAGTAAGCTCATCGTTCCCCCGAGAGAGAGGCAATGTGCCTGCACTCCAACGAAAGCAAACCCCGCTTTGAAGCTCAGACCTCTTTCCTGTGCTCAGCCGCCGAGGAGCAGGACTCGCTGATAACATCGGAGGGGAAGGAAGCCGCCCTTCGGGGCCTCTGCAAGTCACACTCTAACACTTGTCTTTTTTCTCGACCATCCTCCCAGGCGCTTTCCAGAGATGGACTGTGTTCCGTTCCTCTTGGCTGTCCTCCAGGTATGCAAAGGTAAAGACAATGTCTTCATTTAAAAAACGTACTCCTCCTGTGGTCTTACCGTGGGGCAGGTTCAGAAATGATAACGCTTGGCAGTTGCCTTAGATAGCTTTTCCCTTGTTCAGAAAAACTGACAGTTACCAGTGCCGATGCCCAGCAGGGGGAGGCTTTTCAGACGAAGGTAGACACTGCTGGCCTCTACCGTGACCTCCGCTGCCCGTCGCGCCGGGTCCCCGCAAGCTTAGAATAGGCTCAGGATGCCCTGGCCGGTTTGGCTCAGCGGTTAGAACGTCGGCCTGCGGCACAGAGAGACCCAGGTTCGGTTCCCACTAAGGGCACGTACCTCGGTTGCAGTTTGTCCCCGGCCCTGGTTGGTCGTGCGGGTGGCAGCCACTCGATGTGTCCCTTCACATCGATGTTTCTCTCTCTCTCTCTTCCTCTCTCTCCCTCCCGCTCTGTCTGAACAAAAAATGCAAAAATGTCCTCGGGTGAGGATTAAAAAAAAAAAAAAAAAGAATAGGCTCAGGATGTCTGTTGGGGGTTTCGGTGATAACGTGATGTATATTTGGAGTGAATGTGATGTGTGTTTCAGCTCTAGACGAAGAGATGCTTTGGGACACAACACTTAAACTCGCGAAGACCATGACCCTAGAATGTGTGTATCCGCTGCCGGGCAACGTCACCCAGACGGAGTGGTTCAAGGTCAACGCGATGAAGGAAGAGTCTATAGCCATTTTCAACCCTCTTTATGGTGTGGCCATAAGGGAGCCCTATGAAGACAGGGTTTACTTGTTAGAGTCAAACCTGACTGTCTCCGCGGTGATGCTGTCCTTCTACAATGCCTCTGAGGCTGACCTGGGCTTCTATTCCTGCCATCTTGAAACGTTCCCGTATGGGCCCTGGAAGAAGGTGATAAAGGTGGTGCCATCAGGTAAGCACACGGTTCACGTCCCTTTCACCCGCCTGCACCGTTGGGTCTACGAAGCCCAGGTAGCAGCGGCGAAAGGCTTGGCCCTGTTCTGTGATGCTCTCCAGTTCTCCACCCTATGAGTACCGGTTCAGAGGGTAAGCCTGGGAGTTAACTTTGTTTTCCTTGACGTGCTATTGTTTTTGAGTGGAAGAAGCATCTCACGAATTTGAACGTAGTGGGAGGAAGTGCAGGCCTTACGTTGGCGGAATGATGAGGTGACCCGACACCCCACGCTGACCCAGCAGCGTTTTTGTCCAGGACTGAAACCCTCCCTCCAGCCTTCAGCCCGGGGTTGGAAGGGGCTGCTCCCTTCCAGATGGATGGCCCCATCACGGCAAAGTTGCGCTAGAATATGTGTCAGCTGCCGAGCAGGTGTTGCTCAGTTGGCAACGATTTAGAGACTCTAAGGGTGAGAATGGCTGCATTTACTATTTTTACTTTATTTTACTTTTGAATCCTCACCCAAGGATGTTTTTTCCATTTATCTTCAGCTAGAGTGGAAGGGAGGGAGAGGGAGAGAAACATCGACGTGAGAGGGACACATCGATTGACCACCTCCCACATGACCCCGACCAGGGCCGGGGACAAACCACCACTGAGGTATGCGCCCTTGGCCAGAATCGAACCCGAGACTCCCTGGTCCGCGGGCCGGCGCTCCAACCGCTGAGCCAAACCGGCCAGGGCGGCTGCATTTATTCACTGATTCTGGGAACACATGCTGGGTGACTTGGGAGGTGGCACTCAGGGCCGTGCTCCGTGGCAGAGTCTGTGGTGGGGAGAGACTGTAACCCACGAGTCTCTGGTCTTCCTAGTCAGTTAGAGAAAACGTAGTTATATCCATGGAGAAGTCCCCACACTGGGTGGCCTACCCCAAACGCTCGGCGACCTGACTTTTGTTGGGTGGCTGCCGCGGGCCAACTACACACCTGTCATCTCGTGCGATACATCCGAAAGGCCGTGGGGAGGCCGTGTGCTCCCATCGCGCAGATGAAGCGCCTGAGGTCCGGGGTCAATAGGAGACCCAGGGTTGCCGGGCTGCCAAGGCGCAGCGCCAGGGTGGAGCCCAGTGATGCCTCTGGAGGCGGCAGAGTGGTCTGAGGGGAGCTGGGCCCCGACGGAGCGGGCGGAGGAGGCCCAGGGAGGGCGAGGCGGGCGGGGCCTTGCAGACGGGGAAGGAGTTTCCACAGAGAGAGACTGGGGTGGGGGAGGAGAGCAAATGGAGTGAAAGGTCATCCCCTGGGACGCTGGTGGCATGAGGAGGGCACGTGGACGTCTCAGACTCACGAGGGCAGATAACGGACCTGTCAGACTGGAGCCCAGAGCCGCGCGGGGTGTGGCTCTCACCCGGGCCCAGACCGGCAGTGTCACTAGAGGTGTCCTGGGTGGTGACCTCGGGGTGAGAAAGGAACAGTGAGGCGGGGCCCTCCGTCGCCCGCCCCAGAGAAGGGCTCGCCTGTGACATGCGGGGCCCCAGGTACGGTTTGCAATGGTAGATCCTATGTCAGGGAAGAATTTGCAGCCACCGGGACAGCGGCAGAGAGGCGCCCGGGAAGCTAGGCGGCTCCATGGCGCTGTGCCTGACAGTCAGCCTCGCTCTGGGACGCAGACTCGTGGGGTCCCCGGTGCTTCTGAGGGAGCCGCAAACTAACCCGGTCTTGTTCATCACCCAGGAGAAGCTAGGTGCAACCCCATGAAGGGCAGGGAACCAGTATTTGTGGACTGGAGCACTAATCCACTGCTGGTCAGTGTAAACTGGTGCATCCATTGTGTTATTGGTGTCGGTGATGTTGGTGTTTCTCCAGAGAAACAGAACCACTAAGACATGTACGTACATAGAAAGAAATTTGTTGTAAGGAGTTGGCTTGTGTGATTCTGGAGCTTGGCACGTCCAATGTGCACTGTGAGCTGGCAGGTGCACACACACACACACACACACACATGAGCAGAGAGGGACCTGTAACGTGTTACATTCCAGCAGATTTTTATTTAAGAGAAAAGATATTGCATCGTACCTATAAGAAATCGTCCACTGATGAAACAGAAGCCCTTTAAAGGCTTGGAAATCTCCCTTCTCGATGAAATGAAATAGTCTCTCGAGAAGGCAGATGATAAAGACAAGTGTAAGCCTTGCGGAAAGCTGGGTGCGGCTCCCACCTTCTCAAGGGGGGGGATGAACGGGAGCCTGAGCCAAGGCTGCTGCTGCCGACTTGCTTCCCGTTTGCAAAGCCCGGGAGGAGGCAGCTGGAGAACACACACTGCCCCGAGAGTCAAGTCTCAGGCTCGGGGCGAGGCTCTGCGGTGAGCAGTCACGCAGGGAAGAATGAAGACACCGCCACCCAAACAGGACCCTCGTGGCTTTGTAGACGGTTCAAGGCTGTACCTGGGTGGCGGAGAAGGGGGGATGGACAGGCACAGGGACGTGGTTGGGTTTGATGGGGTGCGTGTCCTCTGTCCAGCTCAGTGTCCAGGCCTGTCTGCCAGCAGGGCCCCCCTTCCACCCTCCTCCCCGTGGGAACCTTCCGCAGTGGACTTTGACTTTAGACCGTAGACACACGCAGGCAGTCCAGAGCCTGGGCTGGAAGGGGCTGTGATCCGCCTGCCTCCCAGACCCCCCCTCTCTCAGTTAACGTTTCCTGTCTGAGCCGGCCCCAGGGCACATGCTGAGCCGGCCCCAGGGGCACATGCTGAGCCGGCCCCGGGGCACATGCACCTTTGGCTGAATGGCTGGAACATTCCCTCAGGTCCTGGAAGCTGTTCTTAGTGCCCCGAAGTCAGCAGTCCTTGGGTTTTGCTCCTCTAAGGTTCAAGAGCCAGACAGGCCACCCCTGCTGCATGGCTGGTTACCACAGCAGTTCTCTCCCCAGCATGCAGGCGACTGCCACCCCAGTATGTGGAGCCCGGTTCCTCTTCAAAGTGGGTGCTGCTGGTGTGTGGGTGCCAGTGTAGGGTGGGGAGACCGCACATGTGTGGCAGCCCATCCAGATAACGGGGAGCTCAGCCCAGCCGCCTCCAGGGACCTTCCCGATCTGTCCTGTTCTGTAAAATCCCACTCCTCAGAGGTCCAGAGCAGCGGACACCAAACACTGTTCTCCAGCTAACTCTGGAGACTTCTCTGGGGGGTCAGGGGGGGTCAGTGACCCTCAGACACCTTAGAGGGATTTGACCTTTGACAGATTGCAATATTAACAGTGCAGTTATATTTGTGCATTTTATAAGCTAAACATGCTGGATTGGGGATGTTTAAAATGGAACGAACGAAAAGGAAAATGTACAAGTGGGGACAGGAGGAAAAAGCAGTCTGTCTGCAGCCCCAGGGCCGGCCACGCCCCTCCGACCAGTGCATCCCTGTCCCTCGGGGTGTGCCTGGCCCCCCAGAAAAGGATGCGCAGCCCCGCTTCCTGCTTGCGGCTGGGTTTCCGTTTGGTTTTCCATGGGGTGCAGATTGCAAGCCAAGTGGCTGGGCCTCGCCTTCGAAATGTTTCTGAAGACATGGACGATTTGCAAGCCGTGGAGAATTTTAAGACAATTAAGTCCATCCTTTAGGATCAGTGCACAGTTATCCCCACAGGTGACGTCTGTCCCCATGGCTGCACAGCGGTTTTAATGAAACCATTCCGCGGGTGGGGCAGCCGGCGCTCCCCGCGAGAGCCTGTTCACGATCCAGCTCAGCTCAGCGTGGGCACAGTTCCCTGACTTCGCCTGTGGAACCGATTTTTAAGAAAAGTCTTCGAATCTGCCGGGAGAGAAAGGGCCCCGTTCCGTGAAGACTGACAGACACTGTCTGGAGGGAGAGGCGGTGGGAGGCGTCCCCGCTGGGCAGCGGGTAAGGGTGCCGCGTGGGCAGGAAATCTGTGGGCACTTCGGTGCACCGTGGCGCAGCGGGGCGGCAGGAAGCTCCCGTCCCGGGCGGGTACGTGCGCCCATCTCCGGGCAGGTGCATGCTAGTCCCCGTGTGCCCAGCACTGGCCGTCCCATGGGCTCAGCGAGGCCCGTGCTTACAGTTCTGAGTGCACAGGGCGACTTCCTTCGACATGTCAGGAAGTTGTGGGTCATCCACCAAATTCGTCCCCTTAATGGAGAGAGGACTTTTTTTTCTTTTCAACTGGAGGCTACGATCGAAGTGCAGTACCCCCCCCCCCTCCCCCATGCACGGCCCCTTCCCCTGGCCTCCGTTACCTGCAGTCAGGGCTGTCCGAAACATTAACCGGGGATTTCCACAAATACACAATTCACAAGTGCTACATGGCACACGGTTCTGAGCGGGGTGACGAAATCTCTCTGCATCTAGCTCTGTGCCACGCTCCAGCCCAGTGCAGGCTTACACAGCCTAAGGGCAGGTCCCAGTGCCCGCCTCCCTCCCCTCCCTCCACCCCGTGGCGCCCGGTCACACCCTCCTGTCACTTGGGAAGGGTGAAGGCAGTACAACCGGAGCGGGAGGGAGACCATGTCCACGCAACTCTCATCACAGTGGATTGTTACAATGGTTCCCTCCTATCAGTTATCTTTGTTAATCTCGTACTGTGCCTAATTTATAAGTCAAACTTTATCATAGGTATCTATCTATAGGAAAAAACATTATATATATATATATATAAAAGTATATATATATATAAAAGTTTCAATACTATCTGTGGTTTCAGGCATCCACTGGTGGTCTCGGACCGTACCCCCCTCAGATAAGGGGAGAAAGAACTATGTTCATTTTTCATCTGAAACAGTCGGAATTCAATTGTTGTCTCTGAGTCAGAGCTCAGTCCGTAACAGTGTATGAGACAAGTGAGACCGTTTTGCCTGTCCTTGTCGCTTATGACATCATATTTCTGGAAATATCTCTTTATTATCTTTTAGGAAACACAGCTGCTCATTAAATACGTATAAAACAGTAGCTTTATTTAACACAGTTAAATGCTGGGTCACTTCCTTCTCCATGTGCAGGGACCCTAGAAATTGTTTCCAAAAGA